AGGCAGTTTCGTGGATGCTCACCTTACTAGACCTGGATGGAGGTGGGTGGTCCTTGGACTTCCCACAGGGCAGGGAACCCTGATTGCTCTTTGGGCTGACGAGGGAGGGGGACTTGATTGGGAGAGGGGGAGGGAAAGGGGAGGCGGCGGTGGGGAAGAGACAGAAATCTTTAATAAATAAATAAATAAATAAATAAATAGATAAAAAAATAAAAAAAAGTCTTCATTCATTCCCCATAACCCCCCCCTTCTGTCCTTATTAGGTTGTTTTCATGTCTTGAGCTCTCTTAATTCTTAATTTAAAAATTCAGTAGAGTCAGGGACATCCCTTTCATCATATTAATACACCATTTTGAATGTAACAGCGAAAGATCCAGAGATGTCTTGAGACCATCCAAGGATCACCAAGGTCCATGATCTTAACACTGTGTCTCAAGGTTATTCTATTAATTTGTCTGTCTGTCCTTACAATTGTCTTAACTGTAACCTGTTGTAGGAATTTAGCAGAATCCCTGTATCAGAGTAGATATTAGAACAAACAGCCGTTTTTTTTTTTTTTAGAATTACTTTAACCTTGAAGTATCATTGTGGAAAATGGTGATTGCTTTTCGTGATCTGTAGAATTGTTCTGTTGAACTGGCATTACAACCATCCCATGTGACTTTGGTCACAAGGCACCTCAAGCACACTTGTGACTCTTGTATTATTGTGCATTGCACATGATACATAATGAAGGACTAGAATCATGGAGGCCTGTGAAGCTTTCCTTCAGTAAGATATGTAAATTACATTAGGGACCTTGGTATGAGGAAGTACTTCCAAGATTTGGTTTGCCATTAGTTTAATTCTCCAGTCTAGTGGTGAATGTCCAGTTTATATCTGTATTTAGCATAAAAGCAAAAGTTGTGTATGTGCTGAGTATTACAATAATGGCCACTCAGATATGACTTTTTTTCTTTACTTTTCTATAGGACAGGCCAAGTTAGAGCAATGGACCAAAAATAATAGACTGTCGACAATTTTTCTTGTGAATAACCTCTGTTTAGCCTGGGCCTCATGATAGCCCACACCTCCCACACTCATGTAACAGATATTTATTGAAAATAGCTATGTGCCAGCCGTGGTGAAAAAAGAAAAATAGATCAAATAAAGCTTGAAAATCAAATTTTCTTTGAGCTGTTTGGAATAACATTATTCTTAAAATCTCAATGTGTAAGATTGTTAAGCTATAGTATGTGTATTAGTATTTAATGACAATGGCTAACTCTATAATTACATACTAGAACCTTTAAAACTTTATATCCAGCATTTCTTATTTACACAGTTTAAATTCAGGAATCTTGCTTTGAAATTGAAGACAGGAGAAATACAGTTTGAAACCTGAGCTATCCCTTTTTTCACATGTGATTTCTACATACATATAACGTTTCTGAAGTAATTGGGATTTAGCCAGGACTTTGTTACCTTTTCAATCTACAAGTGACATTTTACCTCTTATTTTAACTACAGAGCTAATTGAGACTGAGATGACTCTTTAGGACACAAGAACAAATATTTGAGAAAATACCTCATGGACTGAGCAAGAGATGCAACTAAGATTGAGAATCTCAGGGGAATAAGAGCTCACTGAAGTGAGGGAGAAAACAGAGTTTTAGTAAAACTAATGCTTGCACTAAACAGCTCTGGATAGATTGATGAATCAATGAGAGCAAGATGAAAGTTGACAATTCTCTGTTTTGCATTTCAGAATTAAAGCTCTACCAGTGAACACGGATAAAGGTCTATCGAGTTTCATAGGCCTGACATTAGGAAGGAAACGACCCTCATTGACAGGTGAAATTGATCTGGCATTTCCCAGAAGAGAAATGAACTTCCAGAAATGACCTGCTTCTCCTTTCAGGGTACTTCAACTATTTCAATAATTTAAGGCTATTTCTCATGGAAATGGAATCAATTTTCTCTAAACTTGAAGCACATTAATGAGTATTCTGAACTTCTTTCCCTTAAGCCAAGTGGTAAGTGAGAGCCAAGCAACCTTGAAAGCTTTTACATTAAAGAAGGCACAATTTTCTCTCCTTGAGGGGAAAAAAAAAGCTATTGGTTGACGGTAAGTTTAACACAGGAAATACAAAGTTCCCGTGGCTATGAGGTGCAGAGAAAAAGCCTATGGTGGAGACCAACTACTAGTAGTCACAGGGACTTCTGGTCCTGCCACCTTTTCATTCATCAATATTAAATGCATTATCTGTCTTTCATAATTCTGGCCTCTCATAATTACTTGCACTTTAGTTTCATTGGCTCGCCCATTTTCTTTTTTGATTTGTACCTCTTAGGGTGGAATGATACCACAATGGTAATGATGAAAATGCGTTATCTAATAAACATGATCTCACATCTCCAAGGTGCCCTGTCTCAGCATGAGGATGCTTTAGGGCAGATGTCCCTCCATCATTCTAGGTACCAGCTCTGAGTCAAATGAGAGTTACACATAAGGGCGCTTTGAATGAGATGCCCCATAAGCTCAGATAGTTGAATGTCTGGCTCCTATTTGATGGACTGTTTGGGAAGGATTGGGAGATGTGGCCTTAAGAGGGCGTGTGTTACAGGAGTGGGCTTTGACAATTCCAAAGCCCACCATGCCCAGTTTGGCTCTCCCCCAACCTGCTGCCTGCTGCTTGCAGGCCACCATGTATGTTTTTAAGCTACTGCTCCAACGCCAGATCTGCCTGCCACCATGATCACTACCATGATGGTCATGGACTAACACTCTGAAACTCTAAGCAAGCCACCAATTAAATCAGTGATTCTTGACTGGTGGGCCTCAACCATTAGAAAAACACATATTTCCAATGGTTTGAAGAACCCAACCATAAATTAATTTTCATTGCTACTTCATAACTAATTTTGCTCCTGAGCGACGGCTCTGTTGCAAAGATCATCAGAAACTGTGTTTCCTCATGGTCGTGACCCACAGGTTAAGCACCAGTGAATTAAATGTTTCTACCTAAAAGCTGCTGTGGTCACGGTGTCCCTTCACAGCAATAGAGAAGTAATAAAAACATATGTACTTTTAAGTTCCTAAAACATTATAGCTTATAAATTAAACCCAAGAAAGCATAATAATTATATTTACCATTTGTAAGCTGAAGTGAGTGTAAGAAAGACTTTTCTCTGTAGTCCACCTTAACTGTCCCTCCTAATTCTTACCCAATCCGTGGTTCCCTTGTTCACACATGATTTCATCTTTCTAGCACTGGTAAGTCTCCCTCATCCAACTCCTATCCCACTGCCCAACGTTATGCAGGTGTTTGCTTACAGCTCAAAACCTTGGAGCCATTTCTCCTCTTGGTGTTAGTAGCCAAGAAACAGAGCTCACCAAAGAAAATCAAGACACAAACCCAGGTAGGATACTCAGAGGCAGAGTGCTTGCTTAGCATATGTATAAAGTCCTAAATTCAAGTTCAGGGCTGCCCAAGTGAGGAGAGCATACTTTAAGAACATAATCTAAATAACAGTATTGTTTTTTAGAGTTTTTACTACAATTTTTTTTGTTTAGTTAACTGAGCGCATGTGTGTTTGCGTGTGGTTGCACTTGAATTCTCATGCTCTTTTTACGTGTACATGGATGTTAGAGGACAATCGGTTAGGTTTTCCCCTCCTGTTGTGTGGTCCCTAGAAGGGTCAAACTCAGACTGGGCAAGCATCCTTACTCTATTCGGTTGCCTTAAGTTTTAAACAGAGTAAACCATTAATTTTTTAAATGAGTCTAATCATGTATTTTAGGAAACATTATGGAATCAAAATCTAGTTCTTTTTTTCTTTTTTTTTTTTTTTTTTTTTTTTTTTTTTTTGGTTTTTCGAGACAGGGTTTCTCTGTGGTTTTGGAGCCTGTCCTGGAACTAGCTCTTGTAGACCAGGCTGGTCTCGAACTCACAGAGATCCGCCTGCCTCTGCCTCCCAAGTGCTGGGATTAAAGGCGTGCGCCACCACCGCCCGGCTCTAGTTCATTATTTTATCACATGCAGAGTCTAACAGTTTTATGAGAAGAACGAACTTGTGTACTTAGGTTTAGTTGCCTTTCTCGTTTGAGTACTAATACAGATTCACCAAGGAAGTCCACCTCACCTTCCTGCGGGGCTAGGGCTGCTCTCTTCATTTTCCCATGGGTCGTTCTTACTCCGTGGAACCGGGGGCTGCAGCATCTCAGCCGCGAGGGGATCAGCGTCATTTTCTGCTCTGCCAATCCACTCCCCAATCACGCGGGGTCTCAGAAGAGAAGAATTGAAAGCCACTGTTTCCTGAAGGTACAAAAATAAAAAGCGCTGCTTTAAATGGCCTTTTCTTCTTAACAGATAACAAAAAAAAAAAAAAAAAAAAAAAAAAATAGCGTTGTCCAGGCGTTTGGGCTCACTGGAACCAAAACATCCTTTCGTTTCTTGCCCTTTCTACTCAATACCTTCTTCTGTGATTTAGGCTAATTCCTGGAGATCACAGTGATTGAATATCTAGGTGTGAAATCTTGGGATTTAGATCCTCAGGGCTGCACTCTTTCCCAGAAAGAAAGGGTGGGACCAGCATTCTTGGTGGAGGGAAGAGAGGCTGTTGGGTCCGCAGTGTGCAAGGGTGTTGCACTGAAGTTGGGAAAGGCGAGTAATCGCTCTGCAAGCAATGAGCTGCAGCCAGAAGACACAGCTATGACGATGCAGTGTGGGAAGGATGCATTTCTCCCATTGTGATGCATCCGGGACTTCCAGGTCAACAGTAGAAACAGGAAACTACCTATGACAAGTAGGTCAGGTTAGCTGAAAACATGTTGGTCTCTTTTTATATATTTGAAATGAGGCAAGTCATTCAGTTCACCAGTTTGCTATGATGTAGCCAAGAAAATATTGATGGAGAATATGAATATATGTGACAACTAGATATACCTTAAGCGAAAAAGTCATTATAAAAAAATATCTATATAATCAAATTTTCGTCTGAAGCCTCATGTGGACTTATAGTCACCATTTGATTCATAATTCGCTCATCTGTTAATTCACTAGTTTTTACTAAATCTTAGTGTGTAATAAGAGCTACCTGATGTACTGGGGAAAGCACTAGCAATAAGGAGCAGCTTTTAGAAATGGTTTGATTTAAAAGGAGAGATTGTAGGTGCTTTTAATATCTTGGCTTGGCATTTCCGTATCTTTTCAATATTCTATGACAAATATGTACTGTATAGCACATGAAATGTCCCGATTTGAGAAACACAGTCTTCTTAAATCTCTTTTACTGAAAACTTTCACTATTAGGAGAATTTTGAACAAGTCTTCAAAAATTCAGACCTGATGTTCTGCGCCTTTGTAATTCACATATAGTACGCAAATGTATTGTAGAATATAATAAATACAATGTCTAAATATACAGATGTAATAAAAACACAATATTTAAAACAACACATAGTAGTTTAGATACTAACTTAAAAATCAAGACCACACAAAATGTGACTTAGAATATACTTAATTGACATTTCTCCGAGTTACAGGAAAAAGGCTGGGCATTGACTAAATATTAATAATTAATTTTATTTATATAGTGGGATAGAATAGAAACAGATTGTCATTGCTATCAGCTCACAGGAGCATAAAAACTGCTAATAAAAGAAAGTTACAAGTGGCTTCAGGAACAGTAAATAAAAAGATGACGCAGGACTTAAGATTTGGCACGATAAAAACGCCTAGAACAGCAGAGATTGAGAAGTAACCCTTTGGTTGCTTGCTGCGAAGTTAAATGAAGTGCGAGACATCACTGCTATTGGAAAGTGGAACACGCAGAGGGTATAAATGGCTTGATATTTGGGACGGTTAACTCCAGCTGGCACAGAAATTTCGTGAGAAATAGCTGGGCAACTGAGAGAGCTGCACCCAGGTCAGGGCAGTTGGGAAGCTACTATTTTACCGGATTAAAAATAGGACTTGATGACTTGTACTTTTCTGAATGCATCAAGATCTTTCTTTGGTGATATTGTCAAAAAGATAGAAGAAACAAGTACCTCTATTTAATTGAAAATTGTTAAACTTAGTCTGTTCACCTGCAATAGATCGAACAGATTTTTTTGTATTTTGTTTGGATTGGATTAAGCCCAGCAAACATATTTCTGTGTATATATCTTTCTAAAAATGTTTTAATGAATCAAACTATTTTTAAAAGTACACAATCACATAACATCAAATAAAATTTAAATATATTTAAGCAAACACACAGAGACAGAGAGCAGAGGTGTATATGGCTGTGTAGTCTTGGCTCACGGAGAACTTATACTGTAGATCAGGTTGGCCTGCGCTCACAGAGGTTTGCCTGCCTCTGCTTCACACATGATGGGATTATAGGCATGAGTCACCACATCCGATTAAAATTAGAATAGTTTTAGGACAGGCTCCAAAGCTACAGAGAAACCCTGTCTCGAAAAACCAAAAAGGAGAGAAAAAAAGTAGGAATTATTGGAGCTTCAAAGTGGATATAAAAAAAGATTAATTCTGTCACTGTAAATGTTATAACAAAAAACAACAAAACCCCAAAAACTTCCACTAAAACTAGTATTTAGATAAAGTGGCTTCTTTTGTGAATTAGAGATTCTTTGGAGGGGAAAGCTTTGACTCGATGCTGATATAAAGAGAAGTGATGCTGTGAGAAGTAGCAGAAGAGGCATTAGCGGCTTTTGTTGTTCTCGTGTGATATAAAATGGCAAGGGGATGAATCATTAGGCTATGGGAAGTGGAGTTCCATGGCAGAGCTTTGGATAACCAAGATAAGAGGAGCGGTAGGAAAGTGGGAACAATAATTCCGAGTGCTGTAAAAGCTCAGGGTTTAGTCCAGTCTGTGTGTTGAAGGCTGACACAGAGGGTTCTTGCCACACACAGTTTCAGAGCTGTTGAACCCTGGGCAATAACCAGGGACAGAATGAGCGTATGTAAGAAACTCATACACGAAAACTCACTAAATGTTCGACTTGATCACAATCTAAAACACCCATGCATGATGAGCTAATTCAGATATAGCCTGAGTTAGAACATATTGTCACCACAAAGCTAATAGAATTTTCCCCACTAGCTTTTATTCTCCCTGCTGCCTCAGCAAAGAATAGTTAAGACACCTTGGTTCAGTCCTTAGTGGAATTTTCTATACACTCACACACTTTTTTTTTCTCTAAAACTTGGCCACAGTCACTGAAGGAAAAAACTTAGAGCATGCTGTGTTTTACTAGTCACCCTGATAAACCATCACATGAATAATACAAAGAAAATCACTCCTATTGTCTGGTTCAGAACACATTTACTAAGATGCTCTTGCTGTCAAGCTTTGTTACTACATTTTAGCTCCTCTGTTTGCAAGTAGTTTTTATAGCATCAATTATAAATGGAATACAAGCACCCATAATGGCTGCAGGCCATGCACAGTAAGAGGCTTCACTCTGGGGAGTTATTTGAAAACAAACATGTCCCTCTCTCTGGTTTCCTTTGGTTCACATTTATAGGTTACCAGCTGCCATGCCTTCCTGAGTATAATTACACAAAGCAACTGGAGAAGGAAAGGAAAAGGAAAAGTTTGAAGATAATATAATGGGTAAAAGTGGGGATCAATTCCCAGAACACAGATTCTATCCCTTACACAACTGGCTTACAAACATATTTGCAAGGAATCGAACTCTGTGGTCACGTACACCTAGCATTTGCACATGTGTACAATGTCCAGCCATCTCAATGGCAACTTCCCCTTCTCAGTCATTTCCAGTCCATTCCCCTCATCATTTTGGTTGTTTACAGCATTTACTGCCTCCTTATTTCTACTTATTCTATCTATCTATCTATCTATCTATCTATCTATCTATCTATCTATCTATCTATCTATCTATCTATCTATCTATCTATCTATCTATCCATCCGTCTATCCGTCCATCCGTCCATCTGTCCATCTGTCCATTCGTTCGTCTGTCTGTCTGTCTGTCTGTCTGTCTATTATCTATTGTGGCCCTGTCTCACTGTAAGCTCTGGCTGGCCTGGAACTTGCTATGTATATCAAGCTGGCCTCAAACTCCTAGAGCAGCTTCTGCCTCTGCCTCTGGAGTGTTTGACTTAAAAGCATGACCACTATAATAAGCTAACCTGCCATTTTAAAGGGATTTTGTTCTATAAATTTTTACTTACTTTTTGGATGAACTTTGGCTTCTTTGAACATCTTTTGTTATAGTTTCTGTTTGATCAACAAATGCCCTAACGCTAGCTAGATGAATACCTATTACAGCAGTGGAACACATTTCTATATTATATTTTTCCACATAAACTGGATTTTCTGAAAACATCCCATTTTCCAATGATCCAAAAATACTAGACACAATGGAATAAGATGGTTTTAAATGCAAAGTTCAGAGAAAGGAGCTCTGAGAAAGGATGGGAATGTTTTCCAAAAGAAAATCCCTGTCTATGAAGTAGACTGGGAGCTGATAGAGCATCTGCCGTAGACCCTTCAGAAGCTGCCAAGAAACCGGCAACCTTAGACTTTAAGGGTCGTTAGTGTGGGGGACCAGTTTGAATAACCCCAATCTTTAGTCTCCCTGTGTCCATATTTCTTATCATGTGACTTTTGAGTATCTCAAAATATAAAATTTTGGGGGGTACAATATATTTTCTTCCACCTATGATTTGTTTAGACTAATGGTGAGGACAGAAAAGAACCTATCAGATACAAGTAAGCCTCGCCCTCCAGAGACCTTCCCTGTTACATTTGCTCTCCTGCATGTCTGCCATCTCCACGAGAAAGGCTTGCCTATGATAGCCTCTCCAGGTTCTTAGGAGATAGGTGACCAGCTCTGACTCACCTCAGACAAACCCACCAGATAGAACTTGACAGGCACATGAGCCACCCTCCAGACACATGAAAGAGTTCAATTATAATTCCCGGAGCAATTCCATTCAGAAACCAAAACAACTCAGCTTAATCCCAAAGAAGCAAGAGAGATAAGTATATTATTAATCCACCAAGTTATGGTAAGACTGTTACCTACAGTCAAGTGAGAGTTAGCATTATTAAACAAAAGGTTACCTTAATTGATATTGGACTATATAGTAGCAGGTGGAGACTTTGAAATGGTAAGAAAATTATAAGAAGCTGAGAAAATGGACACCAGTGTTGCATGATGTTCAAATGTTTGGTGAAATTATTACCTTACAAGACAGAAATTATATCAAACAGACTTCCAAAATTGAGAATGGAAATCTTTAGAGAAAATATTGTAATCACCATCAGTTTATGCCTAATT